GGTTTCTACCAGAAAAGGCAAAAATAAAGAAACCTCTTGCTTCTTTTATCCTTCTTTGGAGATTATAGTGATTGGTGTGAACCATACAATTTCACTTTTAAATTTGCGACTTCTAAAAATTCTTTCTCTTCCTGACATCATAATGTGGCCTCAGAAAATCAGACAGTGGTTATTACAAATACAGAACAGTGCCACTCAGACACTGAATAGACAATTATAAATGTCTGGATTCCCCCCCTTTTTGTGGTGACCGCTTTTAGATGTGGAATAAAACCACATCAACCAGAGGGCGTTGTTATTGGGGTTTACTAGCCTATTCCTGCCACATCTATAAAGTACTTTATATGAAAAATACTTTTTTTCACTATCTAACAATAACTCTCTGCTATATAAGACTTCAAATAGGAAGCCTTGAGGTACAAAAGTATTAAAACTTCAGAATATAAAGGGACTCTAAAATATTGTCTAATAAAGCGCTCACATTTGATGGGTGAGAGAGTCAGGCTGTGAAGGGGGCAGTGATCTGCCCAAGACACCCACCTAGTTAATAGCTGAAGGAGTGTTTGTTTTCTGATTCTGTAGATGGCCGCCCGTGCCCCATCATTCTCTGGGATGCATCTTTATCTCCAGCAAGTAATGACACCCATTCTTCCGTTAAGCTCACCTGGGGAACTTATCAGCAGGTGCTGAGACAGAAGTGCTGGCAGAATGGCCGAGTACCCAAACCTGAGTGGGGCTGTACTGAAGTACATCACCATGAGTGGTCCAAGGTGGCACTCTTTGATTTTTTGTTACAGGTAAGTTTATCACATCAAGTAAGTGGCTTTTCTAAGACTGACAACCTAGTTACATTAGCTTGATGCTGAGGAATTTTCAGCTCCTGGTGTTTTTATGACGTCAGAGTATATGCTGTGAGGTGCTGTGTCTGGCCAGCCTAGGATCCACATGGGAACATTTTACCCCAAACTCCTGCTCTCAAGGGATCCACCTGCCTCAGCCTCCAAAAGTGTTGAAATGACAGGCATGAGCCCCTGTGCCCTTGTTATGTTTTATAGTCTTTGGGGGAGGTAATCATACGTGCTCTTCAGCAGTTTAATTGGTTTTATAGAATCTACTGGTCATCTGCAGCATTCCTACTCATGGAGCTATGGGGGGTAGTCTTCATTTATGGTGAGACACTGAGGCTTGATGAGGTTAAGGCTTTCAATTAAAAGCTGTTCCTGGGATTGCCTGGGATCGCTCGATGGTAAAAGTTTGTCTTTTCATCATCTCACAGTGTGTTCTGCCTTGGCTGTATAGCTTACAGCCACGATTTCTCTTATTTTCTTTCCAATAATTTATTGCAATTTTTTGTTCCTATTCAACACTGGAGAAAATAAATATTGATCATTTATGTAATTGTTTCTGGATTTTATATGGTTTTTAAAAATAACTCTTTTCTCCTTTTAATAAAGATCCCATGACGCTCTCCACTCCCTCATGCTTTTTTGTTTGTTTTTAAATAAAATAAATATTTATGGTAGGGTTCATTACAAATACCCTAATAAATTCAGTCTTACCAATAGCTGTATAAGATAACTGCTATGATTATCCACAATTTACAGGTAAGAAAAATGAGTTTAGAGAAGTTAAATTTTCTAGATGTTACCTAGCTAACAAGTTGTTAAGCAGGGATTCAAAAATAAGTTGTCTGATTTTGAAGCTGTTAAGCTTCTCTTAAGGACCCTTCTTAAGAGGAGTTTAGTTTCCAGCTGTGAGGAGTATAAACATTTTTACTTCCTAAAATGTATACAGTGAGAGCATCTTTGGACATCATGTCATCTAAAACATAAGACTTCAGTAGTCTGAGCAATTGCTTCCCTTTCCTGCTAGCTGCTATCTCAGAACTTTACTTATTTTGTCTTTTTTTTCCTTTGTTTTAAATTTCAGATTATTCTGGGGGTACATATGTTTGGTTGTAACTTGGTTACAGAGTTTGATTTTGTAAAGTTAAAGTGAGAGTTATAGGCGTGTCTTACACCCAGAATGCAGTAGACCTGTTGGGTAGGAATTAATCCATCCCCTCCCCACCTTCCCCCACTGGAATTCCATTCACTGAGTTGTGCTTCCGTATGAGAATAGAGGTGTTGATCACTGACTTCCAATTCAGTATTGAGTACATGTGGTGTTTGTTTCTCCATTCTTGTGACACTTTACTTAGGAGAATGGTCTCCAATTCCATCCAGGTAGTAACAAAAGATACTAGATATCCATTTTTTTAATATCTGAATAATATTATATGGCATACGTATACTACAATTTATTAATCCGTTCATGTACTGAAGGACATTTGGGTTGTTTCCACATCTTTGCCATTGTAAATTGCCCCACTATAAACATTCGAGTGCAAGTGTCCATATGATAACTTAGAGTTAAAAAGAAAAAACAAGAAAGAATTCTCATTTACTGCCTTTCCCTTCCCCTACTTTAGAAAAACTAGTTTTCTGTTGTTGTGTTGTTAATTAGTATCTCATGGAAATTTGGGACTGCCTTAGAACATTTGCAGAACATTCTCATTTCTTTAGTTCCTCTTTTTTGTGCATGGCTAGAAGGAAGAAACTGGAAAGGGATGAAAATATAGGAAGAAAATCAGTTTAGTATAGAGCCATAGTCTGGGCAGCAGGAACTCTGATGAGGGAGGAGGGATCTTTGGTGTCAGTGGAACAGAATGCCCCCGTGAGGACTGAGCTTGGGAGTGAGCTGTTTAGTTTGGCTAAGAGGCAGTCCACAGTCACCAAACACTGGCTCCTTAAAGAGTGTTGAAGAAACCAGCTGTGAGGCTCAGCCTGGTTTTAAGCATTGTTTATGCTTTAGGTCATTATTCCATCTAATTAATGTACTATCTCTATGAAGTAGAAACCCTGTCTTCATTTTACAGGAAGAAAACTGAGGTAAAGAAAGGTTATTATCAAGAACTGTGAAAAGTCTGAGATTTTATTTTACTTGGAAGTCAACAAGTAAGTCTGTCATAGATTGATAGATATTAGCAGAAGACACAAGATTCCTGGGTCAGAGACAATGGCTTTATTACTCATGATATAGTAGGCAGCATGAGCTTTATACTCTTCTTGCCCATCGAGTTCTACTGGGGTGATACACAGTGGGCATGGTGAATGCTTCTGGTGGTGTGTTGCTGCTGAGGAAGCCTAGGCTTAGGATACCCCCAGTTTTATAAGGGGCTGCTAGAAAGCCTACTTGATATTTTCCTTGGAAGAATGCATTTTCTTTCTTAACTTTGTCTTGAATTAAATGTGTTTTCCTTCTTAGAGGGAGACACTCTCTGTTTGTATTGTGCAAAGCTGTTTTCTATACTAATATCCTTAAAAATAAATGTAGAACAAAGCCTAACATAAGAACTGCAGAAATGCCATGAAGAATTGTCTGTCCACAACTATCTACCTTCTTCAGTGTTACATAGCTAGTAAGATCACAAATAGTAATACAAGTTTCTGACTAACTGTGTGTTCCATATGTTTAGCTTTTTTTATATAACAACTAAGGTATGGAAACAACTTGTAAGGAAACAAGTTGGTATGATAAAATGTTATAATAATAAAGTGGAGAATGCCTGAAGGTACCTAGGGTTAAATAGGTGAAGGTAATCACTATGAGGTCAGGTGTTTGTGAAATGGTTAGCATAGATACTGAAGTTCCTGAGAATGATGATAGAAGAATGAGAAACTAATGACCTTGAGACCTAAGAACTCAGTTATAATGA